AATCTGACCTCACTACGAAGGATATATTTCCCTCCCCACCCTTATCTGCCTTGCGGAGGGACTGCTGTCTCCGTGACTCCCTCATCCGCAACACACTCCCCACTAGACCCAACCGCAGGAGATGCTACACCTGCCCCTACATCTTCCCCCCGCCCCCCCCCTTCCCCCTCACCTCCATCCCAAGCCCCAAGAAAACCGTCCACATTAAACAGATGTTCACCTGCACATCCACTAACATGGTCTATTGTGTCCGCTGTTCCCAATGTGGCCTCCTCTACATCGGGGAGCACCTATGTTCGGTTCGTGACAAACGACAACACCTCCCAGTCGCGAACCACTTCAATTTACCCTCCCACTCCCTGGACGACATGTCCATCCTGGGCTGCCTCCAGTGTCACAACGATGCCACCTGAAAACTGGAGGAACAGCACCTCATATTCTGCCTTGGAACCCTACAACCCAATAGTCTCAATGTGGACTTTACCAGCTTCAAAATCTCCCCACCCTTGACCTCATGCCAAGACCAGGCTCCCTCTCATCCCCGCATCCTTGACTTGTCCGTCTTCTATCCACCTATCTGCTCCACTATCCACCTTCTATCATCGCCTCCCCCTCTCTCTATTTATTTCAGAGCCCCCTTCCCCTCCCCCATTTCTGAAGAAGGGTCCAGACCCAAAACGTCAGCTTTCGTGCTCCTCTGATGCTGCCCGGCCTGGTGTGTTCATCCAGCTCCACGCCTTGTTATGTCAGACTCCGGCATTGGCAGTTCCTACAATCTCACTTGAACTGAAGGAACCTGCTTTGACTAATATATAACTTATCCCTTTATTGTCAGAATTTTAGTTTTGGCTTGTCTCTACCTCTGATGTACAGGTCATTCCCAATGCTGTGCTTCCATGTGATGCCGGTCCTTGTTTAACTCCTCTGGCTCCTTATGTCCTGTATTATTCTCCTCCTCCTTCAAATCCCCGTATAAATTTGTCTAGTTTTCCTTCAGCAGACCCCTCTCAGGTTGTTTGTTCCTTTATGCATCCAGATACACTTTTGCCGCATGACCTATTCTTTCTTGCCTGTTCAGTCCTACTGTTGGCAGCAACTCCTTCAAACTGCTGTATTCCTCCCTCCTGTAACATTTTTCCTTTTCCTTTCTCAGCCTTCCACTTTTATCTGTTTCCTCCTTTGTTTATACCTCCAAAAATGGGAAAAACAGAAAAGATGCAACTTCTGGATTTCAAATTGCAGTCCATTTAGTGAAAGAGCTGTGGAAGTAGTTACAGAGAGTTATTTTGTAAAGCATGTGAAACTTAATAGAGATTACAGAGCAACTTTAACTACTGTTTGAAAAATGAGATTTTATTTTCCCTCAGAGATAGTAGGAACTGCAGATGCTGGAGAGTCCGAGACAACAAGGTGCAGGGCTGGATGAACACAGCAGGCCAAGCAGCATCGTAGGAGCAGAGAGGCTGACGTTTCGGGCCTAGACCCTTCATCAGAAAAGGGGGAGGGGAAGGGGGTTTTGAAATAAATAGGGAGAGAGTGGGAGGCGGATAGAAGAGGGATAGAGGAGAGGATAGGTGGAGAGCTGTTTGTTTCCTCTCCACCTATCCTCTCCTCTCAGCCTCTCTGCTCCTACGATGCTGCTTGGCCTGCTGTGTTCATCCAGCCCTGCACCTTGTTGTCTTTTATTTTTCCTGTTTGTTTTATCTGTTACACCGTTGATTCAGACTTAGTGAAACTACGGTATAATGTTATCATTTTTGAGATTTAGATCCTCCCTAACAATAATTTTCCAAGAACACAAATATCAGCACGAGTAAAGCATGATCAGATGAACTAGCTCCACCGTTCAATACTATCATAGCTGAGATTGAGCTTCAGCTCCATTATACTGCCAGCATTCCAACTCCTCCCCCAACCTTGTGTACACACATGCACACCTCTGTTTCTTAAATTGGCATGCTAATTTTGCAATTTACCTTTGTAGTGCCAGCCTCTCGCAGTGAGTACCATCGTATTCAACAACAGCTTGAGTCTGAAAAATTCCCTCCTACCTTCCCAAATGGACAACCACAAGCTTTCCATGAATTATCCCGTGAAGAACAAGCCAAGTATGAAAAGAAGCGATTGGCAGGTAAAACTAACTCAATAGCAACACTGTTTATGATTCAATCTCTTCAATTTTTTAAGTTTTAGTTTCTTGTATTCATGTACCTTGACTACAGGCATCCGTTGTTTAGGAGGTTCTGAAGCCACCAAAATATTAGAGGGGATTAAAATAAACTTTTTGAGGTAAATAAGCAGATAATATCAAAATGCTTCTTTATATATATGAAAAAGAAGAAAAAGGCCAAAGCCAACACAGCCTCATTAGAGAATGAGAGTAGGGAAATAATAATGGGAAACCATGAAATAACAGTGAGTTGAGTAAATACTTTGCGTCAGTTTTCATGATAGAGGAACTAATAGCATTCCATGATACTAAATAAACAGCAGAATGGGGAGAGGTTATAACTATAATAATTGTTGGTCACGAACCTAATTGGGCTAAAAGCCAATAAGTCTCCTAGACCTGATGTTAAAGGAAGTAGCTGCAGAATAATAGATGCACAGGTAGTAATTTTCCAAGAATCCTTAGATTCGGGAAAAATCTCAGAGAATTAGAAAACTAATGCAACACCCTAATTCAAAAAGGGAAGGAAAGAAAAACCAGTAGCTGTAGATCACTTAGCTTACCACCTGTTATTGGGAAAATATTGGTGTTCATTACAAAGATTATAAAAGCAGAGCATTTAGAAACACAGTATAATTCAACAGAATCATCATGGCTTCCTGAATGGAAAGCTATGTGTGATGGTACTTTGCCTTTTGAGAGATGTGTTCTGTGCTGTTCTCTTGCAGAGGGGTATTACCACAGTAGTATCAAAATGTCTCTTTCAGACAGGCAGTTGGTAAACAGCTTTTGAGTTCTCACTGGGTGTCTTTTTTTTTAAAATGAGACAAAAGAATTATGAATGGGTGTGGTCAGGGCTCACAAGGGCTTTTAGTTTTGCTTTCAGTTAATGAGAAGGTTTCTGCTGACTGCTGAGCAAAAAGCTTGAGTTCTTGGCTCCAAGAGTGAAGTCTTAGAGAGCATGGCTTCCTCTTAAAAATCTAAAAGGGGCAAATTGTTTCTTTGTTCTGGACTAGAGAGAGACAGCACATGAGACTCTCAACTGTTTTGCTGAACTACATCTTTGCCAAAGGATGTGTTTATAGGATGGTGCATACATTGGAACAGTTGATGATTAGTGGTTAAATAACACATTATCTTGTTAGGTATTGCAATAGATTAAAGTTATGCCAACTTTCTTTTATTTTATATTTTAACTATGTTGCAAGAACAAAGTGTGTTTTGATTAAAGCCTAGTAAAGGACCAATCAACTTTACACTTACCTTGAAATAAATATAAAAGTTAGGGTACAGGCTATCTTCTTAGAGTAATTTGTAGGGTGGTCTGGTCTGGTCCATAACATGCCTGACAAATTTATTCAAATTCTTTGAGGAAGTGACAAGCAAGATAAATAATAGGGAACTAGTTGATGTAAAATATTTGGATTTCCAAAAAGTGTTTGATAGCTGGTATATAAAGGGCTACTTCCTAAGATGGTGTTGGGGTAGTCTATTAGCATGAATAAAGGATTTGCTATTGCTGAATAACAGAAGACTGAATTGAGACAAGGGATGCGTTTTCAGCATGACAACTTGTAATGAATGGAATGCTGCAGTACTTGGGCCATAAAGTACTTAGAATATATATTAATGACTTGGATGAAGGAATAAAGGAGGTAAATGTTACTTAAATTGAGCAAATCTACAGGAAATGACAGCACAGAGGGATTTGAGTGTCCTTGTGCATGAATCACAAAAAAACGCAGCATACAACTTCAGGTAACAGGCAAGACAAATGGATTGTTAAAAGTGAACAGAGAATCAAAAAAGGAAGTCTTGCTTAAACCATATAAGACACTATTTAGACCTGTTCCAGAAAACTGAACAGTTTTGGCTCCCTTATCTAAGGAAAAATATACTAGCATTGGAGGTGGTCCAGAGAAGGTTCACTAGGTTGATCCAAGGTATGGAGGAATATTATTGAGAGGTCGAGTAGGTTTGGACAGTATGCATTGGAGTTTCGAAGAATGAGAGGCAACTTTTTTGAAACACAAGGTTCTTAAGGAATTTAACAGGGTTGATGCTGAGAGATGGTTTTTCTGTGTCATAGAATTGAAAAGCAAAGGCTATAATCTCAGTTTAAGGCATTGCCTTGTTAGAATACAGATAAGGGGAAATTTCTTCTGTTGGAGGATCGTGAATCTGTGGACTCCTTTAGAGCAGAGGGCAGGAGAGACTGGATCGTTAACTATATTCACTGGTCAGGTAGGCAAGTTTGTAATCAGTAAGAGAATCAAGGGTTAATGGAAAAAAGGCAGAAAAGTGAAGTTGAGGATTATCAGATTAGCCATGATCCCAATGAATGGTGGAGCAGTCCTACTGGGCCAAATGGCCTACTTCTTTTCCTACACCCTATGGTCTCCTCCTAAGACTTAGCCTGTGATGAATGAGAAGTGTCTACCAATAAGGTAAATTGTAGCAGTCCAAAAACTACTCGGGCTGAAATCAGCCTGGTTAATACATTGTTCAGTTGTAAAGTATAGTCAGTGAATACTGCTGATATTTGATAGAATTGAACTCAATCAAACATTTGTCCCTTTCTAGAAAAATATGTTCAGACCCTGCAAGTCTACAGTAATGAACCTCTCTCCATTTGTTTCAGATTATTGCCGCAAGGCTTACAAGAAAATCCACATCACCAAAGTAGAGGAGCGAGTAACTACTATTTGCCAACGTGAAAATTCTTTCTATGTAGATACAGTACGAGCCTTCCGTGACCGACGGTATGAATTTAAGGGCTCTCACAAGGCAAGATCTTACAATTTCTTAACTGTCTTTTCTTCGTATTTGAAGTCTTGAAATTCAATACCATTCCTTTATGAGCTTGGTTAAAATGAATTTTAAATCTGCAAACTTTTAACTACAACTAAGTTCTGATTTTCTATGATTCATGTTACCGACCTTTTTAACTTTTGTCCTTTAGTCTTCATGTGCATATCAGTTTCCTGCCATTATCTTTAAATTTAAAAGCTTTAGGCAAGGACTTGAGCAGATAAATCAATACAATACTGAGAATATGTTGTATTGTTGGAAGTATCGTGCTTCTTATTTGAGGCCCATCTATTTTCCACATTGGCTCAGTATGTGAAGTATTTTGCTAAGATTTTCATTCAACTTTTACTTTCTAGGTTTGGAAGAAAAAACTGTCTGCTGCTATTGAATCTGGAGATGCTACAGAGATCAAGCGTTGTAAGAACATGGAAATTTTGTACGAGTCCCTGCAGTTGGCCCACAAGTGTATTCTGAACTCGTTCTACGGCTATGTCATGCGCAAAGGGTTTGTAACCAAATAAATATTGATGAAAAATTGTTGCTAGATAAAGCTTGTTTTGCCAGTAATAATTAGGGCATCAGAATATCAAGTTATAGTTCCTTGTCATGGGATTTGAATCTGCTATTGGATTGCTAATTTTAATGTGGAGTTGATGTTAGATGGTTAGTAGAGCCTTAGTGCCTGTCCATGGTATAGAAGGAAGGGAGAGTAATGCCAGTAATACATTGATTTGGCACATTGTATCGTGGATTAAAATATAGACCCATAACCATAAATTCAACTGCAAAGTCAATTGATTCTTGGTATAAAATATTTTTGTTGGCTCAGCTCGAGATTTATACTTAGATTTAGAAAGGTTGTGAAGACATTAAGAGATGATAAAGGAAAGATTTAAGAAAATGGTTCCAAGTATCAGATCTCCACTAGAGGATAGGTAGGGAAGTTGGGGCTATTCTGACTGAAGAAATGGTTGAGAGGACATTTGACAGAGGTACTCAAATTCATGAACAGTCTGGACATAGTACCTAAGGAGAAACTTCCTTTCTCCAGAAGGATTGAGAATCAGAAACACCAATTTTAAGGTGAATGATCAAAAGAACTAAAGGTGACATGAGGTAAAGCTTCTCTTCCACAGACAGTGATGGCTAAAATCTGGAATACCCAACCTGAGTATGTGGTGGAGGCTTCTTAAATCAAGGCGTTCCTGAGAGAATCAGACAATTATCTGAAAATAAAAGACTTGTAAGGCTACAGGGAAAGGTTAGGGCAGTGAGACGGTTGAGTGCCTCTACTAAGAGCTGGCACATAGTACTAATTAGCCTCTTTCTTTTCGATGATGCTGCAAAATTATGCCACTACTTGCTGTGCCAGATCTAAAATGTTACTATATGGAGAACGTTTTTGTTCTCCCTCAATGTCTTAAATGTGTAATGAGAACACTACTACTGAAAATATAATTTATTCTAAGCGCTCACATGGAATTATTTTCTATCAGTAAATCTAAATGGTGTTTCTTTTCCCCTTGGAAACTTAACAAAATAATTAAATCTATCTCTCCATTATCTTGTGTCTTGATGCATATCTGTTACATGAAGACTTTTGAAAGATGTTTCATCCCAGATCTTCAAGTCTGAGTATGGATTAGTGATTAACTAACTGACTGAAATGGAAGACCTATCTGTTAAATTACTAAATGTACAGTTAACCGAAATGAATTAATCATACTGCTTTGATTTGGTCAATCAGTACCAGTGAATGATAGCATCAAGTTGGACTATTGTTGTTATTGGCAACTAACACAAATCAGATGACTTCAAGTAATTTTTAATTGGTGTCTCGAATATATGCCACCAGCTGAAAATATCAGTCAGAATGACATTTAAAATAAACTAAAACAATATAGCATTAAATACTGTTGAATACAATGCCATGTGTTGCTTAAAGTTGCTGTTAAGCTGTTTAAATTCTTAGAAAATCTTTGTGAAGTGCCTGATGCTCAAGTCAACTTGAATTATTAGATCAGGCTTTTTTTAACCATTTCAGTGCCCGGATTCTCTTGAAATCCTTGTAAAATACAGCAGATGCAATTAATTTTGGTACCACCAACTCAATTTTGTCTAGGTTTATTGACCAGCTTTTCTGCAGAATGTGCAAATCTTGAATCGTTCCTGTACTTAAATTCACCCAATGCCTTGTTTTAATTCAGCTCCATGTTCCAGAATTATTTCTGCCACTAATCGCGGTGATATAAAAGTTTGTTGTGGTCTGTTTTAATTTTGACTTGATGTGATTAGTTAAACAAGAAAATGATGAATGGAAACATTTTCAGTAACTTATCCTTTCTTAAAAACTGGGATAGAATAAATACTCCACAGAAATTTATATTCTGAGATCTTGAAAGGGTGACCGACAAAATATCTGCTCATCAGGTTGTTCTTTTGTTATATAGATTTGTACATTGTATTTAGCCCGCGATTTACAGTTGCAAGTTTTGTCACATTTGTACATGATTGACTCTGCCTCCACCCTATGATAAATGTAGTAATATATTTTATAGTCACTACGGTCAGACTGCACCAGTTAAAAATGATCTTTTTAGCATCTGTAGAAGCTTTAAAACTGGACTATTTAACCTGAGGAGGATAGTTCACTGGTGCTGAACTTGCCCCTGAATCTAATCCAGGGAATTTTTTTTTGTATTGCTCTCTGACAGGGCTCGTTGGTATTCCATGGAAATGGCTGGGATTGTCTGTCACACTGGAGCTAATATCATCACACAGGCCAGAGAACTGATTGAACAAATTGGGTAAGGGAGCTGTGAAAAAATGGATTTCATGGTTGTTAATTACTGTTTAAATCCGTCTATTTAGAACCATCCTGATGCTGAAATTGGTGAGATGCAGATGGGAGGATTGATCGGTTCAGTTGATTAAACAGTTAGTTTATGAATCTTGTTAATCATAAGACTCAGGGTTTGATCTCCAATCTGGCTGAGGTAGGCTTGGGTCCTACCTCTTTGACCTACCCATACTTTTTTTGAAAAATTCATGGCATTTTGTAGTAGTTTGGTGAGGAATTACCAAAGAAATGCCTTTGGACAGACAATTGAAGACAAGGTGCAAATAACCCAGTTGGATGTTGTAATAACTGAAATCTGCACACAGAAGGGCAGGACTGAGTACTCGAAATTTCTGGGGCAGGACTTTTTTTGGATGTTTCCTTCCCGGTCATCCTAGGAATCAATAGGGAACGTATTCCCATTAATAACTGTTGCCCTGGAATCATTTAATGTTTGGGCATTAGCTCTGTGGCTTAGTAGAAAGGATGCCCTGATGCCGACAGTGCTGGTCTCCCTGATTGGCTGGTGCCTCTGTAGCCCCAGTAGCAGTGGTGTTCAGGACTATGACTAAAGTCCAATACCAGATAAGTGCAGGTGGACCTGCAGTAGAGTGGGTGGTGAGGTTTAGGAAAGTAGAGAGAGGAGCCAGAGGTTTTGATGGAAAGGCTTGTTGGGTGGATGGAGATTTGAACTGGATGTGGAAAGGAGGCTGTTGTTGAAGCTATACCCACTCAGCTTCATGCTTGAGGCCCAAGAAGAGTCACTTGCTGGTCTCTGGCCCCAAATGCTTTCCACCATCCTCAGAGTTGAGGCCTAGCAGGAAATGGCCCTTCAGCAGTCACTAATTGCCCACTGCGGACCTCAACTGGGGCAAGAGAAATGTGCTGACCCAGGCCTCACCATGCCATTTGAAATTGTAGATAGGCTAGGGTAAGCATGAGCACAGTGGGAATTTCACTCAGGAAATTTTATGTGCCTCAGCTTGCAAACCTGTCTGCAAGACTGTAAAATTCTGCCCAAATACAAGGTGTTCGGAAAAATAGGGAGCAAAACAAAGGGGCAGGGTCTTTGGGGAACATTTGGCGACCTAAAAGGAGATTTTGTGCAATGAGATCGAATACGTGGCTAAGATACTAAATTAATACTTTGACTTTTCAACTGTAAGTACAGCTAGGTGTTATAATGTCTTCTAGAGTCACAGTTGTTAATGGTGCAGAAAGAGACCATTTGACAAAGACATTTGCTGGCTCCCAAATGTCATAAAAATTTCACCTCGATCCTTAAAAGCATCCTAGAACACTGTCCCTTATGCCACAAAAACAGAGCTATGGGAAAAGGCTGGGGAGCAGGTTCAGCTGAGTATCTCGTGCAGAGAGTTGGCATAGAGATTTCTAGTTCGTGGCCTCCTACAGTGCAGTAATCATACAATAATACTATCTAAGCTTTCTAGTTTTAATTGTTCCTAAAACAAAAGATTCTTATGGCTGGCACCAAGTTTCTTTAGGAACTGATAGAATGTTTATTTTAAAATTAATACAATTTCTTGAAATCAAGAGTCTACTTGCAGAAATACCTAGAAAATTCAAGAGAAATATGAATGGGATCATGTCATGTGCTCTGGATGAAGGAAAAACCTTGGCTCGTTGTCTGCCGATGCTTTACCTTGAGTCAGTTTCTTGAATATTTTTGTCATTGGTGGTTTGCCGTTGCCCCCCACTTGAGGGCAGAGCAAGGACGTAGCTCCTGAATCCAGCTGTGAAACAGCATCATGATTCTGAACCACCAAGCACTCAAATGGGGTAAGAATGGGGAATTAACCAAAGTGAATTTAAATCCGAATACAGCAACACTTGGCAATGCCTGAGGGATTGAGTTTTGCTGACCTCAGTATGTTATCAAATATGAAAAGGTGTGGCTGTTTTCATAACACAAGGGAAAGAGTATCCGATTTTTATTCTGTAGTAAAGTCTGGCACTCGACATTTGAAAATAAGAAGCAGCTCTTTTTCAGAATGAACAAACAGCATTCAACAAATCTCTTTCTATTAACAGACGACCCTTAGAGCTGGACACCGATGGTATTTGGTGTGTCATTCCTAATTCTTTCCCAGAGAACTTTGTCATCAAGTCAACCAATCCGAAAAAACCCAAGGTTACAATCTCCTACCCTGGTGCAATGCTTAATATCCTAGTGAAGGTAAGGCTATCCCCAGCTTAGGAACAATCTTAAATGTAATGTGTAATAATGTGATTGGAGTATATGTTTTGCTGGAATTTTGGAGGAAGAGAATTTTGAATAGTACTGTAATTTTATACCAATCACACTTATTTGTATGTGAGTGCTTGGCATTAACTTGACCACCCGAAAAGACCACATTGGTGTAGTTGAATCAAGAGGTGTATGCTTGCAATGTTTAACTCGACAACTAAAGGTAAAACTGAGCAATGATTTGCTTGAGTGCTACCTTCAATTGGTATTCTGCAATATAGCAAATAGAATGTTCACTATTTTACAGCTACCTTTTTTTTTTTAAATTTCTGTTCTTTTACACCGTGTTTGTGTGGATAGAAGGAGAGAGTTTAGTGGCCCAATCCAACCTCAAGTTAAAAGTTGAAATTTGTTCTATTTTAATACTTAAGGGGCATTTTTCTAATTTCAGAGGTTCAGCCTTTGGTAAGTAAGAAATGCAAATGCCAAGTGGTACTGTCTGGCTGTACTATCTTGTATATAGCTTTTTTTTTTCTGTCTGTTCACTCTGTTGAATTTGTAACATTGCTGAATGGAAGATTTAGTTTGCTACAGCTAAACTTTGCTTTTTGCTGCTACAGGAGCGATTCACGAATGAGCAGTACCAGGAGCTGGTGGACCCTGCATCATTGACTTATGTCACTCGTTTAGAAAACAGCATCTTTTTTGAGGTTGATGGTCCCTACCTGGCTATGATTCTGCCAGCTTCCAAAGAGGAAGGAAAGAAGCTCAAAAAAAGGTAACGGAAGTAGAATGCCAATTTTCCAAGGTTGCTATGCTTTGCAAAACTAGATGATCTCCTGAGGGGATCTCATTGATGCTGAGTTCTAAGGCTCGGGCATGGTGTTTCACAGCTAAGGTGGCACTGCAGTTATCCAGGTCTCCTCCTACTTCTTGTGGCAAAGTTTTTATTTCATAAATCATTGATTTTGATTGAAAATGGATTCCTGTTACGGACTGAAGAGTCCAGGCTTCCAGGCCGTTGACAAGTGATCAACAAAAGACTCCCCTTGCTTTAGGATTTGATGTATAAGACTTCTGTGGCTGATATCCAAATTACGAAGACAAGTGGGAAGAAAAAGCAGTTACGTCATTGGAGTTGCTTTGATCTGAATCCAAAAATGTGTAAAGAATCATGAATTTCAAGTCTCCTTGGCTTAAGAACTTTTGAGGCCATAGACCCAATGAGAATAGGATGCTTGTTTTGTTTTCTTCTCCATCAACTGTTGGAGACCCTCCAATTAAACGATCACCAGTCTTCTGGCTGTTTGAGAGAGCAGCCCTGTGGCTTGGGAAGATTGGTGATTTTACTTTTGCTACCCAATGGACCACAAGAGCTCTTGAAACACCATAATTGAGTTATAATGCAACGTGTAGTTTATTATAGTATTTTTTTTTTTCCGTTCATTTGTGGGACGTGGGCGTCGCTAGCTGGCCACCATTTCTTACCCATCCCAAGTTGCCCTTGAGAAGATGGTGGTGAGCTGCCTTCTTGAACCAATGCAGTCCTCCTGCTATGGGTTGACCCACAATTCTATTAGGGAGGGAATTCTAGGATTTTGACCCAACGACAGTGAAGGAACAGCGATATATTTCCAAGTCAGGATGGTGAGTGACTTGGAGCGGCACTTGAATGTGGTGGTGTTCCCATATGTCTGATGCCCTTGTCCTTCTAGATGGAAGTGGTTGTGGGTTTGGAAGGTGCTGTCTGAGGATCTTTGGTGAATTTCTGCAGTGCATCTTGTAGATAGTACACACTGCTGCTACTAAGCATCGGTGGTGGAAGGAGTGAATGCTTGTGCATGTAATGCCAATCAAGCGGGCTGCTTTGTTTTGGATGGTGTCAAGTTGCTTGTGTTGTTGGGGCTGCACACATCCGGGCAAGTGCGGAGTATTCCACCACACACCTGACTTGTGCTTTGTAGATGGCGGACAGGCTTTGAGGAGTCAGGAGGTGAGTTACTCACCGCAGTATTCCTAGCTTCTGGCCTGCTTTTATAGCCACTGTGTTAATGTGGTGAGTCCAGTTGAATTTCTGGTCAATGATAACCCCCAGGATGTTGATAGTGGGGGATTCCGTGGTGCTAACACCATTGAATGTTAAGGGATGGTGGTTAGATTGTCTCTTATTGGCAATGGTCATAGCCTGGCATTTGTGTAGTGCGAATGTCACTTGCCACTTGTCAGCCCAAGCCTGGATATTGTCCAGATCTTGTTGCATGTGAACATGGACTGCTTCAGTATCTGAGGAGTCACAAATGGTGCTGAACATTGTGCACCCATTGGTGAATATCCCCACTTCTGACCTTATGATAGAGGAAAGGCCATTGATGAAGCAGCTGAAGATGGTTGGGTCTAGGACGCTACCCTGAGGAACTCCTGCAGAGATGTCCTGGAGTTGAGATGATTGATCTCCAATAACCACGACCATCTTCCTATGTGTCAGGTATGACTCCAACCACCGGAGAGTTTGCCCCTGATATCCATTGATTCCAGTTTTGCTAGGGCTCCTTGATGCCATACTCGGTCAAATGCAGCCTTGATATCAAGGGCTGTCACTCTCATCTCACCTCTGGAATTTAGCTCTTTTTTTGTCCATGTTTGAACCAAGGCTGTAATGAGATCAGGAGCTGAGTGGCCCTGGCAGAACCCAAACTGGGCGTCACTGAGCAGGTGCTGCTTGATAGCATTGTTGATGACACCTTCCATCACTTTCCTGATGATCAACAGTAGACAGATGGGGCGGTAATTGGCGGGTTGGATTTGTCCTGCTTTCTGTGTACAGGACATACTTGGGCAATTTTCCACATTATCGGGTAGATATCAGTATTGTAACTGTACTGGAACAGCTTGGCTAGGGAAGCGGCAAGTTCTGGAGCACAAGTCTTCACTACTGTTGCCGGAATGTTGTCAATGCACATAGCCTATGCAGTATCCAGTGTCTCCAACCGTTTCTTGATATCACATGGAGTGAATCGAATTGGCTGAAGACTAGTATCTGTAATGCTAGGGACCACTGGAGGAGGCCAAAATGGATCATCCACTCGGCACTTCTGGCTGAAGATTGCTGCAGATGCTTCAGCCTTATCTTTTGCACTGATTTGCTGGGCTCTTTCATCATTGAGGATGGGGATATTTGTGGATCCTCCTCCTCCAGTGAGCTGTTTAATTGTCCACCACCGTTCACGACTGGATGTGACAGGACTGCAGAGCTTAGATCTGATCCGTTGGTTGTGGTATTGCTTAGCTCTGTCTACCATTTGCTGCTTTCGCTGTTTGGCATGCAAGTGGTCCTGTTTGGTGACTTCACTGGGTTGATACCTCATCTTCAGGTATGCCTGGTGCTGCACCTGGCATGCCCTCCTACACTCTCCATTGAACCAAGGTTGATCCCCTGGCTTGATGGTAATGGTTGAGTGGGAGACATGCCAGGGCATGAGATTACAGATTGTGCTAGAGTACAGTTCTGCTGCTGTTGATGGCCCACAGCATCTCATGGATGCCCAGTCTTGCGTTACTAGATCTGTGTGAATTCTGTCCCATTTAGCATGGTGATAGCTGCTAACATCATGTTGTGTGGCACTATGTCCTTTAGGACCCGACCAGCTCGATCAGTAATACTGCTGCCGAGCCATTCTTGGTGGTGGACATTGAAATCCCCAGCCTGGAGTACATTTGGTGCCCTTGCCATCCTCAGTGCTTCCTTTAAGTGTTCCTCAACATTGAGGACTACTGGTTCATCATCTGAGGGAGGACAGTATGTGGTAATCAGCAGGAGGTTTCTTTGCCCATGTTTAACCTGAAGCCATGAGATTTCATGGGGTCCGGAGTCAATGTTGTCAGTTGCAGATTCAAATTGTTTTTTTTCTACAGCTTTCTGGATGGTATATTGGAGAAGGGCCAAGGCAAGTAGAAAGTTCAGCCCAAAACCAGGCTTCTAAGAGATACCAAAATCTTAAAGAAGATAAAAATGATAACAAGGATGGTCAGATGTAAAAGAATCTTAGACTTATCCATATTGAATAATTAACTTTTGTCATCCTTTAAATTCAGGTATTGAATTTTTTTTAAATCAAGTGATTTGTTTGGTTGAGTTTCAGGTTAAGTAAATAGTGAGCTGTTAGTTGCAAGTGGTTCATGTTTCGAAGAATTCACTTCTTACCTATGTATTCAACTAGTCAGTTCTAAAATAGTTCAACAGAGCTGCATTGACCTGAATGACACTCTGTATTGTGTATAATACATTTAATATCTATTGGGCTGGAGTTTGCTGTGTGCTTGATTGATTGGCTAGCTGTTTTCCGGTTCTGCTATTTATCTCAAATTTGTTTTGCCTTGGAAATTGCTGATCGTACAAGATAATAATCGTAATGTCAGGGTCCTTAATCAAAGGAAGGTCTGGAATAAGGATGATTTAGGCTAATTTAGTGTCCAGGGTCAGTTTAGTTTAGTTTACTTGTTGGCTGGTTGCAATGCAGAAAGATGCCAGCAATGTGACTTCTATTCCCACACTGGCTGAGGTCCACGAAGGATTCTCCTTCTCACCGTGTATCTCACCTGAGCTGTGGTGACCTTAAGGTTGGTGCAGAAAGAGAAGAATCTAAAGATTGGATTAGGTAATGGAGAAAAGACAAAAGAGAAGTAAGATATTTTTAAATCTGGTCCAGAGAGGTTGATCGGCATCTGTTAACAATTATCCGCTTCAATCCAATATTAATTACTGAATTTTGTGCCAAATTTAGTGGACAATGAATAGGCAAATGTAGCCAATTCCATGAAACTTGAGGGATGAGTTTTTTTTGTGAAGCTAAAGGCAAGGCAAGTTGTACTGCATCTCATAGAAAATGGTTGTTCATGAGCTGTCTGCCATTGATGACGGGTTGATTTGCACATTAATAGCTCCCTGCATTTTTCAAAACCCATCTTAATTTTCAACCCTTACTATTGATGTTTCATTGTTCCATTGATGATCAGGAATAATTATTGATCGATGCATAAGAGCAATCAGCCTCCCAAAGTCTAAATACATAAATAGTTTTCGCCACTACTTGACCATTGCTAATAAAATATGTTTCACAGGTACTGGTAGCCCTCTTTATATCTTATATATTTCTTCTATATGCCGAAACAATGAGTTTGATGTACTGTTTGGATATGTGGCCTATAGACTTAATCTATTTCTTAAGGGAGATTTATTCAGTCAGCAAACTGTTTGGAAGACAACTTCACGTGCTCAGTAACAACTACCATCAATGTGTTTTTGACTGGTACTGTTCACTTTGTTTTTGGCAGATATGCAGTGTTTAATGAGGATGGCTCATTGGCTGAACTGAAAGGCTTTGAAGTGAAGCGACGTGGGGAATTGCAGCTCATTAAAATTTTTCAGTCTTCTGTCTTTGAGGCCTTTCTGAAAGGTACCACGCTGGAGGAAGTGTATGCATCTGTTGCTAAGGTAGCAGATTACTGGTTGGATGTATTATACAGCAAGGTATGTGTAGCAATGTTAACTGATACTGAAGCTTTCCAGTCACATCTAATTTTTGAGGTGTCCCCCAATTAAACTACAGTCTGGCTTTAGTAAACTCCAAGGGCTTGCTGAGGATTGCTTTTGCTATTTATTTGAAAATCATTTCCTGCTGTTACTTGCTATCAAACAATAGAACAAACAACCATTAACGAAAATGACTAATCTGGAGTGATGAAATCCAAAAAGGACAGCTTGGAAAACTTTGCATCACTTTTTAAGTTCTCATACATAAATTCTGTACAGAAAAGTGCGTTTAGTATATTTTAAACACTTGAACCATCATTGCAGGTAAACAGGATTAAATGAAGTTTGATGAAAGCTTCAGTTAAATTAATTGGATGCTGTTCAAAGAGTCCATTAAGTACTCCCTGATGCAATTTGTCAACACCTTTGTTATTAAAGCACTGTAAAATGACTTCTTTAGTGAAGCAGCATGTGCGGTTAAATAATATTCCCAAAAAGTTAAATATGATTATAAACACTTCTCCAGACTTAAAGCTGAAAAATTGCTGGTTTTCCACTGTATTGCTTTAATGCCGAGTATTTATATCCAATTTTCTTGTTATTTCAGATGTATTAACCACTCAAAAAAGACAAAGGAATGGTACATACGTTCAAAACATTAGCTTTTGTACATTAATATTCCTCATGGTGATTTCCAAACCTTAAAACATTTACATTGTTCAGTTGTGGCTTGGTGAGGGCAATTCAGAGAGGAAGTCGGTCACAATTGTTTGAATTTTGCAGCCCTTGGTAAAAGACTGAATTTCTTCTGAAGCCTCAGTTGGTTTAGTCTGTTGAGCAATAATAGTGTAAGGGATCTTGTAACAAAAAATAGAAACAGAACCAGGGCATTCTTTCCTTTCAGTTGATTCCTCAAATAATTAGGTCATGGCTAATCATCTACTTCAATTTCTGGCTTCCTACAAAATACCTGTTATCCTTGTTAGATTTTTGATTCTTTGATAGAATATCATCTGACTGAACATCCACTGCTGTCCAGATTGATTAGACAAGGTCTGTGTCATCCCAGGAATCAGGCTAGTGAAAATTTGGAGGCAATGTAAACTGTCCTAAGCAAACTTATCCTTCCTTTGATAAAAAGATCAACAATACATTGTGCTCCAGGTGTGCTGTCACCAAGACTTCATTACTTTTTCACCCCAATCTATGTAATAAAGGGGAACATACCACTTGCTGTCCTAGTTCCTTGTTGTCCTCACATGATAACTTTGTGTACAATGACACCAAGTCCCTCTAAAAGCCAAAATTTCCCAATTTTGCTTTTTAAGACCTATATTTTGCTTGTCTTTCTTTCCTACTAAAGTTGATAACTTTGCAATTTTCCACTAAAATTCTATTTTTGACACTTGCTTAATTCTTCTGTATACCTTGTAATTGTTATTGATTCCTCTTGTCAGCTTGCCTTTCAATCATTTTTGTCTGTCCCCTCAACTCAATCTTTAATTTAGATTGTAATCTCTTGACATCCAAGCACTGATCTTTGGTATTTCCCATTAATTGCAGCCTGCCAACCTAAAAATAAGCAGATTCTCTCCTTGATTTATAGGCAGCTAATATGCCTGACTCGGAGCTATTTGAATTAATCTCTGAGAATAGATCGATGTCACGTAAATTAGAGGATTATGGAGAACAGAAGTCTACCTCAATAAGTACTGCCAAAAGGCTTGCTGAATTTCTTGGGGACCAAATGGTGAAGGATGCAGGGCTGAGTTGCCGTTTTGTCATCTCCAAGAAACCTGAGGGCGCCCCAGTCACTGAAAGGTAAGAGAAGGAAAAGTCTTGGCCAACATATAATGCCCCTTTGTAAATTAGGTAAACTTAATTTTTGTATCCTTGACATCCTTACAGTAATTATTTGTGTGGAATAAACCACAAGACCATGTAAGTAAAAAATAATTATACTCAAATTGGAGAAAATACCTACAATAATAAATGGAAAGAAAGTTTGGAGTTTCATAGGATCATTAAAATAAGTTATATGTCAGGTGTGGTCGGAATATGATTTGTCCCTAGTTATACATGATTTTGAGCTATTGCCAGACTAAACTAAAGATCTAATTTCAGATATGTATTGTTTTACTCATGAATGCAAGCTTCAGCTTGACTTAGTAAAAGTAAAGGTAAAGTTGCCACAGGGTTGCGCTCTCATTAAAAAGACACAACTGGTGTTGGCTTACCTTGAGAATCACCAGGCCCCAGGCAAGGGTAGAAGTTGAAAAGGAGAGTGCTTCATGATAACCTCAGCCTGTGCAGGAATTCAAGCCACGCTGTTGGCATCACTTGCCCCCTAAGTTAAAGGTGATGGATTTGTTGTACAGTGCAGATTTTAACATCATTTAGATTGAAACTGACACTTCAGTGCTTCTTTTTAAGAGATATCATCTTTTATTTAGCCTATTAAATGCAGGCTTGTCCAGGCACAGAATATCATAACAGTTTAAAGATGTCTTGGCCACCATTCCTTCCACAATTCATATCACCAAGAAAAGCTTTAAGTGTGCTGTGGGATCAATGGATAGTAATCTGTTGGCTATGAGATACTTTATAAATACGAAAGGCACAATGCAAGTTCAAGTTTTATTCTCTTTCAGAGCAATTCCACTGGCCATTTTCCAGGCAGAGCCAAGTGTTAAAAAGTACTATCTGAAGAAGTGGTTGAAGAATCCCTCGTTACAGGACCTGGACATTCGATCAGTAAGTGTTTTTTACTGGAGACAACTTTCTTCCATATCACCCCCATTTTCAGTAATTTCTTGGAGCTTGAAATTTTGAGTTTTTACTCCAAGTGTTCACTGATTGCTAAATGATTACTTGGCAAGGTTAATTTTAAACGCGCTGAACAAAAACAAAGTTGCTGGAAAAGCTCAGCAGGTCTGGCAGCATCTGTGAAGGAGAAAACAGAGTTAATGTTTCGGGTCCAGTGACCCTTCCTCAGAACCCTACTTTAAACACGCTGAATTCAGTATTTAAAGTTCTGGCATATCCAGGTTTCCACATGATGGATAACAAGCTAGGCAATATGATGAATTATCAAGAAGGAAACAAATTGAAAAAGCAGTAGATTAAATATAGTTCAGTCTTTCAAAGTGTGAGAAGCCACTGATTAAGAATACAGTCTAAATGAGGAAGTGTCATTGGGGTTCAAGTGCATGTATGCCAATGAAAGCTAACTTGCAGGCATCAAAAGTAAACAAAAGGGCATACATGTTGCTGAGGTTTGGCATTACATATGGAATATGAAAGCAATAAATGTATTGGTGCAGGTATACAGGTTATCTGTTGGGTTGTATTTAAATGCTATGCATTTGTCAAAATACACTAGCCTTAATCCATGTCCAATGACGGGATGCCAGAGTTGTACTTGAGATGAACAGGTTTGTCTGTTATGAGGAAGAGGTTAAATGTGATGAAAATGAGATTCTTAAGGAACAATCTAGGTTTAAAGTCTTGAAGAATTGGCAAAGAAACAACTGTTAGCTTTGTAGAATCCAGAACAAATGAGAGAAACAACTTCCTTACAGGGAATGAAAATTGTTAAAGTACTTTCCCAGAAAGTTCTAGATGGCCTTTTCAATATTTTCAGCTAGCTGATGTATATACTTGAAGTAAAGGTTTGAAAGAGCTGGATAAAGAATGGGAACCTGGATTGTTTAGAATGAAGATGGCAAACAAGGTAGAAAAAGCAGCTTTTTTCTCAGCAAATTCTGCACAAAAGATGGAATAGGATATAAATTAATAGTACTATTCACCATTCCAATTTGCCTGTGGAGATCACCTCCATTTATAACACATTTCTGTTTCTTCTAGATTCTGGACTGGGATTATTACATTGAGCGACTTGGCAGTGCCATCCAGAAGATTATCACTATCCCTGCAGCTCTTCAACAGGTTAATACTTAATTCCACTTAATTCTAATGTTTTATTTTCAAATCATTTAATTCTGCATTTCGATAAATTAAAAAGTATGTTTAAAGCCTGTGGTGATTAAAGCTGATGACAGAGAGAGGGAGATAAGTTCATTTGCAGCTACGTACTTGGGTAACTTTGCTGTTAATGGTGAAGTATGCAGCATGTAGATCCCAGACTTTGACTAATTGTTAATGGAAGTATATTAAATTGAAGCCAACTAGTTATGTTTTTCCTGTAAACTACAGTGAGTCAGCATTCACAGCAGGCTCAGTCTCGTATAACTGGTAAGGAATATTTAATATCAGGTATAAAACATTGCAATAATAATTTAAACACAAGCCATTCACTTTTGAAACCTTGGTTCTATTCTAATTAAAATGTAATAAAGAAGTGTGATCTATTATTCATACAAGCTTGTTGAGTTGTTTGAGCAGTCTCAACTCAAAAGAAAATATAAGGGTGAAGTGCTACTTGAGAGCCAATTTTCCTTATTTTGAAGCATTAATATACTCGCTGACTCAGCCCACACAATGTCCACTGTGCTAAAATGTCACATTAAATCCAAAAGTAATACAAGTCTGGCTGAGGTGTGTTGATGAAATTAGGTGGCCTCTGGAAGCAGTTATGCTGCATCTGAGTGGGCAGTGGTCGACGCTCGCACATGGCGGCCAAAATATATTGTTCCATTCCCCAAAAGATTAGTGTCTAAGGTTGATCAGGGAAACAGCAATAAAGTATTTTGCAGATTGCTGCTCATGTTGTTTTACTGCCTAAGCAAAATACTTCTGTTAAAACATGGATTTTTTTTTTCATTACTGGATCTTTCAATGCCACCTCTTTCAGTTTGTGGGTGCAATGGTACTAGGTAAAATTAATAACCCTCATGCTACTTTCAGCACCATATATTCAATTACTATACAAGAGTACTGCTGCTGCCCATTGCGGAGTAGTCTGTTTAATTACAGTGTCCAATAGAAGCTGCTAAATTTGTTATGTTTAATTGCTGGATTTGCAAATACTAGTACATGTGGGGTGGCTGAGCTGTGCAATCCACCGTACAACTTTCTGTAACTACAGAAAGCGTCTTGGAATATGCTGACCTTGCCTTTGTCCAGTGTCTGATTTAAATGGGAATCATTCCCTTCCAGGTAAAGAATCCAGTTCCACGAGTCCGACACCCTGACTGGCTTCACAAGAAACTTTTGGAAAAGAATGATGTTTACAAACAAAAGAAAATTAGTGAGCTATTCACTAACACTGGAGTCAGACAGGTATGTATCTTCCAATAGTGAAGAGAATTTAACTGGAGTTCTGTAAGTGGCTTCCTCAATCACTACTCTGGGTGATTCAGTGGTGGCAGTTCAGATATGTATTTTTGGCGCTTTGCTTATTTAAGATTCCTTGTTTTTCTTTTCATCAATAAAGCATTTTTGGAAGTGGTTTGCATTTTAATAAAGCATGATGTTAAATAACTTCAACTGGATTTGTTTATTTCACATTCAAAGGTTAAGGGCAAGGTGAGCTGGAACCAGTTTAAAATTCTATTCTAAATATTGTCCATATGTTTCAGGTGACATCCAATCAGCAACTGGTGAAAGACCAACAATCAGAGATTGGTGATTTAGAAGACTTTGGTGCTTCCAAGCACAGAGCACAGCCAGTTATCCCTATTAGCACAAAGAGAACACGTGGTATGAATGAAGAGAGCCAGGAACCATCTCAAGACATGGAATTAACGCAATCTTGGAGAGAAATATTGGGTCCTCCACCACCATTGGGAACGACAAAGGTAACCTTTAACTGAAATGCTGAATTTAAATAGACTTGCTTTTAGTTTCATTTCAATTTTATTAGGCAGTAACACTGAATAGCAACATTAGTAGGCAGTAAAATAAAGGCTACCAACTGATATTAAAAGATGCAAAGAAATGTAATCTTGACTCAGTAATAGCACACTTGTCAGAATGAAAAAATACAAGCTCCATTCCACATGAGCATATATTTCGTTCATGGGATGTGGATGTTACTGGCTAGACCAGCATTTATTACCCATCCCTAATTACCCTATAGAAGATGATTGGGAACTCCTTCAACCACTGCAGTTATTGGAGTATTGGGACACGTACGTTGCTGTGAGGGAATTCCAGCATATTGAACCATCAGAGATACTGTCTTTCACATGAGAGGCTCAACTAAGTTCTTGCTTGACAAAATGCTATTGCTCTTCATCGATAACTTTAACATTTGAAAAAGGCGACAATTGTTGTTAACCGAGCTAGTGTACATTCATGTACCCAATAAAGAGGAAAGTACTGTGGATGCTACAGGTCTGAAATAAAGACAGAATAAGTTGAAAAATCTTGGCAGGTCTCCAGCATCTGTGGGGAGAGAAGCAGACTTCATGTTTCGAATCTAATATGACTCTTCTTCAGAAATGAAAAGTCATATTGGACTTGAAACGTTAACTCTATTCCTTTCTCCACAGTTGTTGCCAGACTTGCTGAGACTCTTCAGCACTCTGTGTTTATTTTACATCCGTGAACCTATAGGTCGTTTGACCAGATGAACGTTTGTCCAACTGCTATTTGTTTTCTCAAACTTTCACTTGCAGCTCTTTGCAACTATTGTTTTAAAATGATTCTAGTGGTCTGGAGAGCCAGTGGGTGTGATCTGTTTGGATTTCCAGAAGGTCTTTGCCAAGGAGCTGCACAGGAGACTGCTAAATAAGACAAGAGCCCGTGGTGTGAGGGGCAAAGTACTGGCTTGGAAAGAGGATTGGCTGTCTGTTAGAAGGCAAAGAGTAGGGATAAAGGGATCTTTTACAGGATGGCAGCCAGCATCTAGCGGAGATCACCAGGGTCCGTGTTGGGACTGTAACTATCCATGTTATACATTAACAATCTGGACGAAGGAACTGAGGGCAATAGAGTTAAGTTTGCAGATGGCAGGTGGAAGGACAGGTAGTTTTGAGGAAGCAGGGAGACTTGGACAAGGAGAGTGGGCAAAGAAGTGGCAGTTGAAATACAATGTGGCAAAGTGTGAGGCTATGCACTTTGGCAGGAAGAATAGAGGCACAGACTATTTTCTAAATGGGGAAAAGCTTTGGAAATCTGAAGCATAGAGGGACTTGGGAATCATAGTTCAGGATTTTCTTAAGGTTAACATGCAGGTTCAGTTGGCAGTTAAGGAGGCAAATGCAATATTAGCATTTATTTCAAGAGAGCTGGAATACAAGAGCAGCAATATACCGCTGAGGCTATAAAAGGCTCTGGTCAGACTGCATTTGGATTACTGTGAGCAGTTTTAGGCCCTGTATCTAAGGAAGGATGTACTGGTGTTGGAGGATATCTAGAGAAGGTTTACCAGGAATGATCCCAGGGATGAAGGCCTTGTCATATAAAGAGTGGTTGAGAACTCTCGGTCTGTACTCAATGGAGTTTAGAAGGATGAGAAGAAGTCTGATTGAAGCTTACAGAATATTGATAGGGCTGGATACAGTGAAGCTGTTTCCACTAGCAGGAGAGACTAGGACCTCTGTGTGCTGAGAACTAATAATTTGAGTGAGGTAGATTGGAGCCTATATATAAAAGGAGCCTTGTGGCTCATGTAGAATGTTTATTTAAATAAAGAGAGGCAGCATATATAGCACAATAAGTTTGAGCCTCCTTTGGACTCTTTTCAACAGTCCAAAGCAGTTAGTAATATGAGGTCAGCTTTGATTTTCATTTAAGCTTAAGTGAAACTTAATGCATTTAAGTATTTGAGCAGCAATCTACAAATAATAGTTTATAATTCTGTCACCTCCTGCTTTTTAAATTGTTCCTTCTGCTTACACATTCATTTTACAGCTGTCTGATGTTCCTCCTAGCCTATTAGGCTGCACGATGGCTCAGTGGTTAGCACTGCTGCCTCACAGCGCCAGGGGCACGGGTTCAATTCCACTCTTGGGCGACTGTCTGTGTGGAATTTGCACATTCTCCCCATGTCTGCGGGTTTCCACTGGGTGCTCTGGTTTCCTCCGACAGTCCAAAGATGTGCAGGTTAGGTGGATTGGCGATGCTAAATTGCCCAAGGATATTTAGGTTAGGTGAGTTAGATGTGGAAAAATGCAGAGGTAGGGGAATGGGTCTTGGTTGGATGCTCTTCGGAAAGGCGGTGTGGACTTGTTGGGCCAAATAGCCTGTTTCCACACTGTAAGGATTCTATGAAAATGATTCAAATTCACCAGGATATCATACTGTGGAATATAAGAGAATTATGAAGAATCATAGGTGCATCATATTCTGCCTTCAGTCATGGACGTTTTGTGTCCGTTCCTTCTTTTCAATTTCTCCATCTGCTTTTTAGCCTTGGTACAGGCTTTTGCTGTGCTTATTTTTTTCCCCATTGATTATGCAATCCAGGACCTTGAGGACAAAAGTTCTAACTGTTTTAAAAAAAATCTAAGTTTTATCATACTTTTTACTCATTTGAACATGAGAAATAAATCTAACTAAACTTATAGCATTGCTGTCTAGTGTTAAATTCCAATCTAGCAAAATTCGGTAGAAAATAGAAAAAAAGAGTTATGTTTTGATTCTATATAAGTTCTCAGCAAATTCCTGCAGACAGGAGAACTAAGAGATAATGGTGTTTATTCTTGCTGTTCCAACAGTGTTTTTGCAATAAAAGAATAAATCTCATACATTATCCTTTTTTTCAGTTCTTCCATTGGATGTGAATGTTGGGTGCAACACTAGCATTTTGTTGCCCATCCCTAATTGCATTTGTCATGGTAGTAGTGAGCTGATTTCTTGAACCACTGTACTCCAACTTGTGTACATGCACTTAGTGCTGTTAGCAGAGCTTTTGGCATTTTGATCTGCAGGCAGTGAAAGAACAGTTATATAGTTCCATGTCAGAATGGTGTATGGCGTGCCGATGGTGTTGTTCTTATGCATCTGTTACCCTTGTCCTTCTCGGTCATGGTCACTGATTTGGAAGGTGCTTTTGAAAGAGGATTGAGTTGGTGCAGTGCACCTTGTAAATGGTACATACTGCTGCCACTGTGCATCTGAGATAGGGAGACTGACTGTTTTCAGTTGGTAGTGGGTGGTGCTAATCTAACAAACTGCTTTGCCCTGGGTAGTATCAGGCTGCTTGATTGCTATTGAAGCTGCACTGAGTCAGGCAAGTGCAGAATATTCCAACAAACCTGCTTTGTGGGTTGTAGGTGGTAGACAGTCTTTGAGGAGATAGGGGGTGAGTTGTTCAACAGAATTTCCAGCCTCAGTCCCACTCTTGCAGCTCAGTATTTATAAGGCTGGTTCAGTCAATTTCTGATCAGTAGTAAGCTCCCTGGATGTTTATGGTGAGAAGTCAGCAATGGTCATGCCATTGAATGTTAAGTGGAGATTCAATTCTTGTTTGACATAGTTATGGCCTCGTACTTGTGGGACTTGAATGTTATCAGCTTATCAGTCCAAGCCTGA